CCTCCAACTCCTGGGCTCAAGCGAGTCTCCTGCCTCAGCCTCCCAAGTAGCTGGGACCACAGGCGCCCGCCACAACGCCTGGCTATTTTTTGGTTGAAGCTGTCATTGTTGTTTGGCAAGCCCAGGCTAGATTCGAACCTGCCACCTTAGGTGTATGTGGCTGGCGCCTTAGGCACTTGAGCCACAGGCGCCGAGCCGGAAATGCTGCCTTTTGCTGTGCATCCTGAGTTTGCTGCCCACTGGGGATATATTCCAGAAGAATAATCACCACTAGCAAAATACACCCTGCTGTCACTGCTTCCCAATGCTGCAGACCTCGCTCCAGACAGACTCCTTGTGACAGCAGGGACTATTCACTGGCAGGAGGATGCCTGTTCTTATTCCCACTCTTGCCTATAACACAATACTCAGGTTCTGGGCAAATATCCCCCTTTTCATGTGATCTGAAAATTCAGAAGATTTGGGCATTTCCTCCTAAAGTAAGTTCAGCCGCAGTGGTGAGCTGCTCCTTGAATTAAGAAACGGGTGCCCTTCACCGTGAGTCTCCCACTTCTCCTCACCTCCCATCTGGCTGGTGACTGAAGATGGTGGTTCTGGGTGTGGTATTTCAGAAGAGTCCGTTGCTCCTAAGAATGGATACGGAAAGAGCGATGATAACAAGAGAGGACAGAGTAGGGGGGCATGGAGGAAAATGGTAATAACAGTATCCAAGTAAGGAGGGGTGAAAGCTAGGAGAGGCTGCATGCCACTGGCCAAGGGCAGCTCAGGTGGACGGTCTAGTGCAGTGCCCACAGCTGCATATCCTCTTCCCAGAGAGGTCCTGGGCAGGAAGGGGAAAGCTGGGGTGAGGTAAGGGGCCTGGCTGGGAATCATCACAGCAGACGGGATGACAGGCCCAAAGCATGAGGACAGGAGGCAGCAGGAGGGCACCAGGGCTATGTGTGGCCAAGCGCTCCCCTGGTGTGGGGACCGGAGCCAGCATCAGAGTTGCTGCTGGCCGAGGGTGTGGGCACCTTCTTGGGTTCGTGCAACCAGCTGATCTCCGCTTAGAAGTAGAATCTTGGCTCGGCGCCTGTGGCTCAAGCGGCTAAGGCACCAGCCACATACACCTAAGGTGGCAGGTTCGAATCCCCAGCCCGGGCCCGCCAAACAACAAT